AAGTTCGGCAATATTAGTATTGATTGATTCTAATGATTTATCATGAAGCTTTATTTCATCATTTAGCCCATTAAGGGAGTTCTCTTTAAGAAGCAGGTGTTGAAGGTGAACGTCGAACTGGGAGAGAGTGTCAAGGTTCTTAGAGAACTGTTCGAAGTCAAATTTTTCAAGAGCTGAGCCTGCTGAGCTTGCTGATGCCACGAGTGCACTGACAGTTTCAAGATTCTTAACAGCTGTAGATGCTTCAAAATCTGAGTTGGCCTGTTGCAAAGACCTTGTGTTCCTGCAGCTGTAACAAAATTCAACTCTTTGTTTTTTCAGTGTTGATACTGGTGCCACGAAGCAGTATGGGCACAGCCATTCTACCATGGAGTTGATAGCTGACCTCGCTATACCTTTCATAGACAAGCAGTCCACATGCCACTCTTGATGACACTTAGAACAGTCAATGAGGTAAACTTTACCGTTAAAAGAGCGTTGACATGGACATTTCTTCTTGTCCCTATGTTTCCTGTTTTCCTGATCTTCATTGTCCACTGTAGAGTCGACTAAAAGGTTGCGAGACAAGCTATTAGATGTTTTAGGAGTACCTGAAGTCTTCCTAGTATTTGATGCCATTCTCAAATCGAATATAAGTAATACTGACCAAATAGATCCGACTTGGGGTCGGCTCCCGTTAAGTGTTTTGTTTTGGAGGGGATTAGGACTTCAGAGTTGATGACCCTAGTAAAGTGTAGATGACCCTAATAGAGTGTAGATGACCCTTAGCTTAGTACGCCCCTTCGGGGGAGTTGTAACATACCATTCCTGAACACTCAATAAATGTAATAGATTGGTAATGTTGTAATTAGTTTAAAACTATATATATACTACGGGCTGTAGCAGAAGGCTATTGAATTTGTTGTATCTCAGACACAATTTACTTGAGATAACTATACATTGTTTGGTTTCTGGTTATACAGTTACACCCGAGCGAGATTATACGGCTTATGAGTATTGCTGAAAGCACAGTGTAAGGCCTACACGGACCGCCTCTAACTAGCCAATCCCTGTTTACATGCCGTGTAGCAGGGGACTAGAAAGAGCTAAACTAGTAAGCGGGGCATAGCCAATACACTATACTTCCATCATTGAGTATATTACCAACCAGAAGGAAAATTTCCTTGTGTTTGGAATCTACCAAGACGAAAGTTGTACAATCCAGCGAAATTCCGAAGAATCATTCCAGTAGACTAGGCGCATTGCAACCACAGCCACGGAAATACTTATGAGTATTGCTGAAAGCACAGTGTAAGGCCTACACGGACCGCCTCTAACTAGCCAATCCCTGTTTACATGCCGTGTAGCAGGGGACTAGAAAGAGCTAAACTAGTAAGCGGGGCATAGCCAATACATGTTATATTTTATGTGAAAGGTTCTTTCAAATATTCGTATGAAATGAGTAAGGTATGAAATAAGCAATGTATTTACTTTTTTCATAGATTCTAGGCATCTAGTATCTGTCTGTGTAACCACTGCGGAAGTTCAATGAAACTAATAAATCAATGAAACTAATAAATCAATGAAACTAATAAATCAATGTTTTAGCTCATTTTACAAAGTCAAATATTTAAAACAATTAAAATTGTATAGTGCTCAATTTGTGAATGACTAGTTGATCTTTGCTATTGGAAGTTTGTCAAGGACTGGCAGCTAGCGGGGGCAAGGAATGCACGGGCTTAGGGGCTTTTGTGCACACCAGAACACTAGCTCGGTAGATTTTTGGAAACTAGATATGTTGGTTATAATATGTATCAATATCTAGATCTTCGTTTATCAATTTTCACTAAATGGGTTTAAAATTTTAATAGGGAGGGAAATTCATCAACTTTATTAAGTACCTATCAAAAATAAATCTTATATCAATGTAATATATTAAAAATCATAATCCTAAGTCTAATAATAAATCTGTTAAAAACACTTTCTCACTACACTGCGCTCACACACGTTAGTAAGACAAAGGAAAATGCACACCCAGCTAATTTTCAATTTCAAGATAATCATTTTGGATGTGTGGACCCTAGGGTAGACTTAATGTCAAAATTTAGAGTAGAGCATTCGAAATCTTTGTTTGTCCAATCAAGATCAGCATGGTTATGCTGGTTGACGAGCAGTGATTGCTTCATCCTAGACTTCAGGCAGGCCACACTTAGACAGTAGTCACGTATACCAAGCTTAGGCACAATTACGTTCCAAATACGAGTCGTTCTGCTATTGAAGTTGTCAGGGGGGTCTGCTTGGCTTAGTATAAGGGTGGGTTTCCTACTTGAGCAGGTGAAATTTTCATGGAGGGAAATCGGAGCACGGAATTTCATGATTTTATAGAGCTCAAGGAAACAATGGTAAGTGTACAGGTTTTGGACGGCAAGTATTCCGTGTTCCTTGAACAAAGGTTTCGTGTGCTCTTTCAAGAAAAATTTTTTGTTCAGATTTTGGTTGCCAAACGGTCGAGCACGAGCACAGGTCTTAAATTTATCTAGGTATGCCTCCCTGTCGCCAAACAGTACCCTGAGACAATATTTTTGTGCTTTGAATACAGAACTTATACGAGTTTTGGCTGCCCCACCCCAAACCGTGATACAATAGGAGAGGTGTGATTCAAATAGAGTGTAATACAACTGGCGGTGTAAGAAATCTGGGAGGGAGCAGCGTAGGCGGCAGAGAGTTGATGTTGCATGGCTGAGAGAACGCCTAAGTGATTTTATATGTTCTTCCCAGGTTAGCTGTTCATCGATGACGACTCCCAGAAACTTAGCAGATGCAACTTGTTTTATTGGAAAGTTATCAATGGTTAGAGTATATTCAGAATTATTGTCAGTCTGGGAGGACGATGCTGGTTTAAAGTGAATGAAACAGCATTTAGACAAGTTGACATGGAGTTTGTTTGCTCGCATGTAGGAATATAAACTAGCTAAAAGAGAATTACCACGCATATATGCCTCCTTTTTGGATTTCCCAGTCACAAATATATTGGTGTCATCAGCGAAGGTGACAAATGATCCCAAACTGGAGCTGTTGGCGATATCATTAATATATAGGAGAAATAAGAGAGGTCCAAGAATCGAACCCTGAGGGACTCCAAACTGTATTTTCAAGGCGTCAGATTTCTCACCAACAACTTCAGTATATTGTGATCTATTTGTTAAGTAACTTTTTATAAGATCATTTGCCACCCCACGTATCCCATAGCCCTGTAATTTGACAAGTAATGTACCATGATCTATTGTATCAAAAGCTTTGCTAAGGTCTATGAATATGCCTAAGACATGATGCTTAAGTTTTAGAGATTCAGTTATAAGGTTTACTGAGTGATTAACTGCATGTGAAGTAGAGTGTGACTGCCTGAAGCCAAATTGTGTTTTAGATATTATACCCTGTGAGCTAGCAAACGAATATATTCTTGAGTAAATGATCTTTTCAAAGATTTTACCAAATATAGAGAGAGTAGAGATTGGGCGGTAGTTTTCTATCTCTTCAGGGTTTCCCTTCTTAAATACAGGAGTTATTCTACCAGTCTTTAAAACGTCGGGGAAGTTAGAAAAAAGACGAATGCTTTTTCATTTATATGGAGAGTTAAGGTGGCAACCCCAAACAGTATCATATAACAGCCTTTTAAGCTGGTGCGTTGAGGAAACTCAGGGTGTTTAGGGGACCCTCATAGACTCTCGCCAGAGACAAATCAAATCAAATCAAAACATAATGACGAGACAGAATGACAAGACAGAATGACGAGACAGAATGACGAGACAGAATGACGAGACAGAATGACGAGACAGAATGAAACTATACAGATAAAAGGCACCCACACCAATGACAAGCATAAAAAGCAAATAGAAGTGCGCATTAGTGAATGCCCAGCCTAACTAAAATACACGTAATGCCAATATTTGAGCCACAGGGGGTCAAGACATTTAGCATGTAATCATACAGGCCTTGGAGCGTTTTAATTTGCCCCACACACAATCGTGTGTAGAATTTACTCCGCCTGTAGAATAAATCATTATCGGTTTGTCTTCGTTCAGTCGCAAAACTTTTAAATAATGATTAGATTAATTGCACATCAATTCTGTAATATTTTGGGGTATATGTCAACACAGCTTCGTTTCCGTTCAAGTTTTGGTTAAGCAAAGTAATGATCATCATCATATCTTTAAAAGAAAGATAAAATGACTCTCATTATGCCTTAACGCGTTATGTTCGATTCTGGGCTGCATATCCTGTTCCTGAAACTATCTGTGTATTGTTCAGAGGGACAATGAGCTGAATCATACTTTTTCGTTTCTACATTTTCTTTTAGCCAGAAGATTAATGTCATCTTACTAGTAGAAAACCTGATCAGATTAGGCCGGCCGAGGTTCAAAGCATGGCACCTTATGAAAGCATGGCACTTGACGAAAGATCATGTCAGAGAAGGTCAAATATATCAATAATTATATGTCTTTCAATATGTCTAGGGATTTACTTCTTAAATCTATCTACTAGATTTAACAAGGTTTTTCTATCATATTATCAGGTAATTTTAAATTATATATTTTGAAAATCAGTCATTAGAACTGCCGGCACCTTCGGGATTCAAACAAACAATGGTAGCAAATTACACCATGGAGTGAAAACGAACCTTCAACCAAACCTACACTATTATAAGTTTAAATATTTGAGATCTTGTTGCTTACCGTTAGTTGGAATTATAAATTGAGTTGAGTTGACTCTTTTATTTGTTACAATCGTTTGTTTGAAAACTGCTCTAACAGTAAGAACAGGATATAAATAGGGTTTCTATTTCAAATTTCATGTCACTCTACTGGATAACTGGATAAGAAATTAATCATCTTTGTTACAAAAAACAGAAGCAGTTTTTTCCAAATGTCAGTTAACTTTCAGATTTATAAATCGTAAATAAATTTACAATTTAAATATAGTAGCAGGGGCATCATTAAAACCTAATCTAAGGACCCCAATAGGTAGTATAGGATGTGTGTTTAAGCTGCTGAAGAAGAATGGCTAACCCTGAACCGTTCTCAGATGAGGCTCGGTTTAGTGGTTCAGCCAACCCTAGACCTGCCAAAACTACTGAGCTATGGGACGAAAACGATGTAAGTACTATATATTATATATACTTCTTAATATGAACCATCTTCTCTTTCTGATTTCTAACGAATCAATATTGTTCTGGAAGGTAGTCTATGGTACTACATGCTTTCAAATGTAATATTATTTTCGCCCAACCAAAATCCTGGAAGAAACAAATTGATATTTCGTTTTTTCGATGTCATCCTTTTTTGCAGTTTTAAAGTCAATTAATTTCGTTGAAGGAGACAATTTATATCTGTTGATAGCGTGCTATGCTATGTAATTAACACGTATAGTAACTGATACTGATTTGCAGGAGAGTTATCTGGTGGAATGGTGGAAAGCTAACTTCTTCATCCGTAAACCTATCCTGTTTGGGACATGGGACGGTGAGTGATCACACTAACTATTTTATTTAAATTTTGTCATTATGTTGAGCAGTTTTATAATGTGAGGTTTATGAGGGATCACAGATTTATCATACTGGTGATATGTACGAGCAGCAGATAACAGGTGTCCCTATATATATCAGTACTGATTTTAAGCTAAATCCTCCTTTGTTGCAGGTGTTTTCACGTCGTGTATGCTAAACATATTCGGACTGGTCGTCTTCCTACGAGCTGGCTGGATGGTGGTAAGTAACTTACATACTCCACAATCCACATAATTACACACAAACACACGTTTATCACTAATCATGATTCCTGTGTACACCAGTTTACCTGGCGGGTTGTGGTGTAATAAGCCAGGCTGCATGATGCAATACAAGGAATGGTCGGCTTTGGCAGCTGTAATTATCCCATATAAGGAAAGTCATTAGATCTATAAGATTCGTAATTACAGAACTGAGTGCTCGGGAGAGAGAGAGAGAGATCGGGAGAGGGAGAGAGAGAGAGGGGGAGAGAGAGAGAGAGAGAGAGAGAGAGAGAGAGAGAGAGAGAGAGAGAGGTAGTGTGGTTTAGTGTACGTTTACTTCAAATACCATCCACCTTGAAACATAATCACATAAGTACTTAATTATTAGCTGGAGAGAGGTATAATGTGGTGCTGTTTGTAGAATATAGTAATCCTTGGGTGTGGTGTTATCTTATCTGCTGCGAGAGTAAGTTGAAGTCAATGATGCTGTAACCTGAGTGGTTAGTGAGAATGGTAATGACTTCCTAGAATTAAGCCGTATCCAATCAGGGGCCGTCCTTATACTGGGACTACATTGGTAGCAAAGTATCTGACCTTATATCTAATGAACAGAAACATTGTTGGAATGCCGCAATATTACAGATATTTGTGTAATTAAGATTCCATCATGGTCACTTCTAGCCGTTAAAAAGCCCCAGCATATTTACACGATTTAGAAATACTCCGAAAAATACAATATTGTGTTAGCTTCCATTCTTCCCCATCAATAATCTCCCGGTTATTGAGGTCTGAGTGGTTATTAAAAACTTCAATGTCAAAAGTAACAATTAATCGTTATTCATAGGATGCTAGGTCCGCCATGATGCGTCATGTATTTTAATCCATATAATACACTATGTGTCTATATACAGTTTAAATTATACTTGCTGTAATACAAGTTTCTGAAATTCAGATAAGCATATAATAATAAGTATATTATTTTTCCCAGCGAACTTCTTATCGGGTGATCTTAAGAGGTATTTTATTTCATTTTAGCTTTTAAAGTATGTGTCAGGTTTGTGTTCAATCCTCATATCACGGTTTTGAGTCGTTTTTATTCTAGTTTGAAACAAGCCAAGGGTCTCTGAAATGTATCCAATGGATAAAACATTAGAGCCTCTATAATATCTGACTGTACAGTGTAACATCAATACTACTACTCATTACTCATTACTCATTAGGTTACATCCTGCTCTCCTTGTCTCTTCTTCTCCTCTTATCCTCTTTTTCTTGTCTTTTCCATTGTGAGTGAGGTAATGAGGCGCGTTACGCTACTTACCTGGCTAACAAAATACTCAGCAGCGACGTCACACCCCCAATGACGTCACACCCCAATGACGTCACACCCCAATGACGTCACACCCCAATGACGTCACACCCCAATGACGTCACACCCCCAGTGACGTCACACCCCCAGTGACGTCACACCCCCAGTGACGTCACATCCCCAGTGACGTCACACCCCCAGTGACGTCACACCCTCAGTGACGTCACACCCCCAGTGACGTCACACCCCCAGTGACGTCACACCCCCAGTGACGTCACACCCCCATTGACGTCACACCCCCAGTGACGTCACACCCCCAGTGACGTCACACCCCCAGTGACGTCACACCCCCAGTGACGTCACACCCTGACACCCTCAGTGACGTCACACGGACCATGATAACACCGATATAATAACTGTATAAACTGTGTGGTGTTATGATACATAACAGTGGTTTAATTGTGGAGAGGGAGAGAGAGGGAGGTAAAGCTGGAAAGTTTGGGCAGCTTACCACATAATGGGGGGAGAGTAGTCATTGACTGGTCACGTGTTCTACTTATACCTACTGATGGTGTTATACTGTTAAGATGTGCAATAGCGGTGTGAAGGTGTGGTTTATGGAGCAAGACTTAATGTTTGGACCTTGTTGAGAGGGAAATTAATTTTGAGATTCAGACCAACCAGAAAGTTATAATGTTTAGATTTAACGATAAATATGGCAAATAGGTACCATACCGACTCCTAGCCTACTATTAGCCGATCGGTATTTTACCTATTTGCCATGAATATTAGTAGATTTAGTAAGTGGGAGGGACCCACAAAAGAGTGGAGCTGTCAGAAAGTATTAATGGATATCGACTATAATTCTATAAAGATTAACGCCCGTGATACTCATAAAATATCTGTTCCAAATATTAGACCGTCGACAAGTCCAACTCGGCGCGCGTCTTGGCAGGTAATAAACCTACAATATAAAGACAATGCCTTCACAGAATACACTAGATGATGCGCTGACATGATATCCCCTCTTATTGTAGGGTTGACACACACACACACACACACACACACACACACACACACACACACACACACACACACACACACACACACACACACACACACACACACACACACACACACACACACACACACACACACACACACACACACACACACACACACACACACACACACACACACACACACACACACACACACACACACACACACACACACACACACACACACACACACACACACACACACACACACACACACACACACACACACACACACACACACACACACACACACACACACACACACACACACACACACACACACACACACACTCTAAGAGACAATCTACATTCTACAATCTACATACAATCTACAATCTACATACAATCTACAATCTACATACAATCTACAATCTACATTCGTCATACTATTATTCTCTTGAGGTCCCCTGGTCCAGTCTCTCTGATGACTGATTTACAAACAATATATAACTTGTTGAAATCTGTTTTTATATACATCATCTCAGATCTTTTGGGCGTACGATTTTCTCCCCGATACCAAACCTTAATGATGAATTTGCATCCATCCCAAAATGTAGATCTAACTCGATCCCCAATCTCTTATCTAACTAACTAACTAAATAACCCTGACTAAAAAGCATTGCTGAAAATGGCCGCACTTCTGTCCTTCTATCCAAAATAGTAACTTATATATATTAGTACGATAGAGTTGCTTCATCACTAGATATTAAGGACGGGTATATTGGATTGCTGCGTGCAATACAGTCGCTGGAAATGTTGTCAGTCGCCTTATAAGGAATAATCACAATTCAAATTAGCTCACTGGGTCGCAGAAGAAGCTAATAACAGAAGCTGAGAAACTCAGTTATTTGGTTCACAACTTATTCAAATCAGGTACAAATCTAGAGGGACTCATCACTCAAATAACCATCTTAATTTGACATCTCAGTACATTTTATTTCTAAAGAAGAATAACTTAAGTTACATCTTAGATTAATAACGTGCATGTGCATGTAACATAACATGTGCAGTAAAGAAACGTTCTGTGTTATTTGCGCATATAGTAAATTAAAATAAAGCATGTGTTACAGCGGTTCATGAGCTAAATAAGTTATTTAGCTCTCCAAATACATTTAGTACATGAAGTATACTTTATTTAGTACATGAACTTTACTTTATTTAGTACATGAACTATACTTTATTTAGTACATGAACTATACTTTATTTAGTACATGAAGTATACTTTATTTAGTACATGAACTATACTTTATTTAGTACATGAACTATACTTTATTTAGTACATGAACTATACTTTATTTAGTACATGAAGTATACTTTATTTAGTACATGAAGTATACTTTATTTAGTACATGAACTATACTTTATTTAGTACATGAACTATACTTTATTTAGTACATGAACTATACTTTATTTAGTACATGAACTATACTTTATTTAGTACATGAACTATACTTTATTTAGTACATGAAGTATACTTTATTTAGTACATGAAGTATACTTTATTTAGTACATGAACTATACTTTATTTAGTACATGAACTATACTTTATTTAGTACATGAAGTTTACTTTATTTAGTACATGAACTATAGTCTATACTTTATTTAGTACATGAAGTATACTTTATTTAGTACATGAAGTATACTTTATTTAGTACATGAAGTATACTTTATTTAGTACATGAACTTTACTTTATTTAGTACATGAACTATACTTTATTTAGTACATGAAGTATACTTTATTTAGTACATGAACTATACTTTATTTAGTACATGAACTATACTTTATTTAGTACATGAACTATACTTTATTTAGTACATGAACTATACTTTATTTAGTACATGAACTATACTTTATTTAGTACATGAACTATACTTTATTTAGTACATGAACTATACTTTATTTAGTACATGAACTATACTTTATTTAGTACATGAACTATACTTTATTTAGTACATGAACTATACTTTATTTAGTACATGAACTATACTTTATTTAGTACATGAACTATACTTTATTTAGTACATGAACTATACTTTATTTAGTACATGAACTATACTTTATTTAGTACATGAACTTTACTTTATTTAGTACATGAACTTTACTTTATTTAGTACATGAACTATACTTTATTTAGTACATGAACTATACTTTATTTAGTACATGAACTATACTTTATTTAGTACATGAACTATACTTTATTTAGTACATGAACTATACTTTATTTGGTACATGAAGTTTACTTTATTTAGTACATGAACTATACTTTATTTAGTACATGAAGTATACTTTATTTAGTACATGAACTATACTTTATTTAGTACATGAACTATACTTTATTTAGTACATGAACTATACTTTATTTAGTACATGAACTATACTTTATTTAGTACATGAAGTATACTTTATTTAGTACATGAACTTTACTTTATTTAGTACATGAACTTTACTTTATTTAGTACATGAACTATACTTTATTTAGTACATGAAGTATACTTTATTTAGTACATGAACTTTACTTTATTTAGTACATGAACTTTACTTTATTTAGTACATGAACTATACTTTATTTAGTACATGAAGTATACTTTATTTAGTACATGAACTTTACTTTATTTAGTACATGAACTATACTTTATTTAGTACATGAACTTTACTTTATTTAGTACATGAACTATACTTTATTTAGTACATGAACTATACTTTATTTAGTACATGAACTATACTTTATTTAGTACATGAACTTTACTTTATTTAGTACATGAACTTTACTTTATTTAGTACATGAACTATACTTTATTTAGTACATGAACTATACTTTATTTAGTACATGAACTATACTTTATTTAGTACATGAACTTTACTTTATTTAGTACATGAACTATACTTTATTTAGTACATGAACTTTACTTTATTTAGTACATGAACTATACTTTATTTAGTACATGAACTATACTTTATTTAGTACATGAACTATACTTTATTTGGTACATGAAGTTTACTTTATTTAGTACATGAACTATACTTTATTTAGTACATGAAGTATACTTTATTTAGTACATGAACTATACTTTATTTAGTACATGAACTATACTTTATTTAGTACATGAACTATACTTTATTTAGTACATGAACTATACTTTATTTAGTACATGAAGTATACTTTATTTAGTACATGAACTTTACTTTATTTAGTACATGAACTTTACTTTATTTAGTACATGAACTATACTTTATTTAGTACATGAAGTATACTTTATTTAGTACATGAACTTTACTTTATTTAGTACATGAACTTTACTTTATTTAGTACATGAACTATACTTTATTTAGTACATGAAGTATACTTTATTTAGTACATGAACTTTACTTTATTTAGTACATGAACTATACTTTATTTAGTACATGAACTTTACTTTATTTAGTACATGAACTATACTTTATTTAGTACATGAACTATACTTTATTTAGTACATGAACTATACTTTATTTAGTACATGAACTTTACTTTATTTAGTACATGAACTTTACTTTATTTAGTACATGAACTATACTTTATTTAGTACATGAACTATACTTTATTTAGTACATGAACTATACTTTATTTAGTACATGAACTTTACTTTATTTAGTACATGAACTATACTTTATTTAGTACATGAACTTTACTTTATTTAGTACATGAACTATACTTTATTTAGTACATGAACTTTACTTTATTTAGTACATGAACTTTACTTTATTTAGTACATGAACTATACTTTATTTAGTACATGAACTTTACTTTATTTAGTACATGAAGTATACTTTATTTAGTACATGAAATTTACTTTATTTAGTACATGAAGTATACTTTATTTAGTACATGAACTTTACTTTATTTAGTACATGAACTATACTTTATTTAGTACATGAACTTTACTTTATTTAGTACATGAACTTTACTTTATTTAGTACATGAACTATACTTTATTTAGTACATGAACTTTACTTTATTTAGTACATGAACTATACTTTATTTAGTACATGAACTTTACTTTATTTAGTACATGAACTATACTTTATTTAGTACATGAACTTTACTTTATTTAGTACATGAACTTTACTTTATTTAGTACATGAACTATACTTTATTTAGTACATGAACTTTACTTTATTTAGTACATGAACTATACTTTATTTAGTACATGAACTTTACTTTATTTAGTACATGAACTATACTTTATTTAGTACATGAACTTTACTTTATTTAGTACATGAAGTATACTTTATTTAGTACATGAACTATACTTTATTTAGTACATGAACTTTACTTTATTTAGTACATGAAGTATACTTTATTTAGTACATGAACTTTACTTTATTTAGTACATGAACTATACTTTATTTAATACATGAACTTTACTTTATTTAGTACATGAACTATACTTTATTTAGTACATGAACTTTACTTTATTTAGTACATGAACTATACTTTATTTAATACATGAAGTAATAACTTGATAACTATACTTTATTTAGTGCATGAAATATACTTTATTTAATACATGAACTAACAACTTAATAACTATAATTTATTTAGTACATGAACTAGATGGAATTAGAGCGGCCAGTTCATAACCAATCCAGTGTACTTTTACACACAAACCTGACATATTGATGTGCTCGCCCAATGGCTGAGTCGTACCAGATAATACCGGAAACTAATTGCTCCTTCTCTAGGAATGTGAACTATTTCAACGATACATTTACTAAAATAGTATAACCAGCCAGTGTTACGGAGATCATTCAGATCTGCACGATAAATACTCAGATATTATTATCCAGCTGTCATTAACCCGCACATTAAGTATTTCTGAATGTCAGCTCAGTTGACGCAGGTAATATTGTCAAGTGACGTGGTGATTTGATAAAATTATGATTATTATTGTGACTTTTTTAAGGATTTACACTAATAGCTGCTCTAAAGAAAGGTGCCAGTAGTGATGTTAATAACACTGTGTATTATTACACTCCTTATATGGGCATCACGTGTATTATTAGTATTATTAATTATTAGACCTCATATTCTAGCCAATCAGCTTCCGCTATTGATCAACCAAATCCTAGAATCACATTATATTCTTATATTGTATAATGATAATTACATGTTGTTTCACTTATCACTACACCAACGATTTGTTGTTATCTTGAATGTTACACCCACAATAACCATATGCCACCTTTCCCCTCAGGGTAACACCCACAATAACCACCCTCCCCCTCAGGGTAACACCCACAATAACCACCCCTCCCCCTCAGGGTAACACCCACAATAACCTCCCTCCCCCTCAGGGTAACACCCACAATAACCACCCCTCCCCCTCCGGGTAACACCCACAATAACCGCCCCTCCCCCTCAGGGTAACACCCACAATAACCACCCCTCCCCCTCCGGGTAACACCCACAATAACCGCCCCTCCCCCTCAGGGTAACACCCACAATAACCACCCTCCCCCTCAGGGTAACACCCACAATAACCAACCCTCCCCCTCAGGGTAACACCCACAATAACAACCCCTCCCCCTCAGGGTAACACCCACAATAACCAACCCTCCCCCTCAGGGTAACACCCACAATAACCACCCCTCCCCCTCAGGTTAACACCCACAATAACCACCCCTCCCCCTCAGGGTAACACCCACAATAACCACCCCTCTCCCCCTCAGGGTAACGCAGGTCTCCTCCTCTCCTGTCTGATAATAGTCTTCACCCTCTTTGTTGGTCTGTGCACTGTAATAGCCTCTAATGGTCTCATTGCTAGCTGCACAGAGAACTCTCGGGGCGGTATTTACGGGATAATTACGTACGTGTTCGGCGCTAAAGTAGGGGCCACTGTTGGGATCATGTACGTTCTGGGACAGGTACGTCAGCTTTTATACTTTTAGTTGGGGGTCCACATTTTTGGCACTAAAATTCTTATTCCTTGATTAATTTTTTATTTTTTCATGCTGATTTGAAGGCCATTAAAGCATCTGACCCAGTCAAAAAAGTTTAAGTTGTATATCTTTTTCGGTTTTTGCGGAACGTTGTGTTAAAGTTGATGCCGTGGTGTCAGTAAAATGGCACGGAACCATATACCTATATATATATATAAATCGTCTCGCTTTATATATAGTAAGATAAGACTTATCATAGACGATTTGTTGAGTTACATATTCTGATGTTGAGTAGTGAAGATAATGTGTAGTTTTGACTTATAACTACAGCTCGTATCATTTCCTTTACATTAACCAATATATTATACTATCTCTGACTGACGTTCTATCATCTAATTTATAATCTCATTATTATTAATTAAACTAGTTTATTAATTTAATTAATTTATAACTTTATTAGATTAATTTATAATCTTAACAAACTAACATCATTACAGACGATCTGCATAGCCCTGTACGTGACGGGTTTTGCGGAGGCGATAGTGCTAAAGTTCGACCCAGATCCAGCTAACCACTGGTTACTACGAGGGATCGGTATTATCACTGTCTTATTGCTCACTGTAGTTGCTCTATTTGGGGTCAAATACCTCGTTAGGTGAGTACTACCCTTTACTGGTGTCTTAATTTCCACTTAATGTTTTGAAATTTACAGGGGGTGGTTCACAACAAACTTCCAATGTATTTTTAATCTTCGTTCTAAGGGGCTCCTTGCACCTTATAATGTGATCAGAAATTTAGTTATTTTTTATTATTATTAACTGTCTCATTTTAATTGGGAAAAATGTAATAAATAAATAGGACAGTTATTAAAAATCGGTAATGTCAATTTAATGTTAGAAGAATAATCATCGAACATAAAATAAAAAGTTGATGTTCGATACTTCTTATAGCAGGCACAGGTTTTATTCTACAATCTTACATATACTAGCTCATATCTGGAAGGGGCTTGTTGCTACATAATACACATGACGTATAATTGATACGAAAGTGTATATTAGCAGTAGCTTTAAAACTCATGTCATTATCATGGTTATTGATTATGGGTACCCAGCCTGTACACTGTACAGAGTGTATGCAAATTACAAATTACAAATTACAAAATATTACCCCATATCCAAAAAATTTTTAATTTCCTACATTCTCAATTTTTTCGTTTTTTGTGCCCGCTCGCTTCGCTCGCATAAAAAGTCTTTGTATTCGCACGGTTCAAAGATTTTTCATGGCGGATTCCAGATTCTCAATTTTACTTTTTTAGGGCCCGGAATGCTATTTAATAGATAATCCTAGGTTACTTTTGGGGGCGAAGCCCCCGAAACTTTTGGAAATTTATTTACTAGATTTGGCCTTCTGGAACGAATCTGACAATGGAGAACGATTTTAGCATACTATTTTCTGATTTCAATTTTTATTGGGATAAATTGTCTGGATTCTAGAATCCCTAAACACTTGGCTTAACTAAAGCACGATATTTTCTCACGCCACACGAATTTGGGCTGGGTGTGTGCAGTGTGATACACACATTGAAGACGTGATGTGTATATGCTACTGCTTGCCAATACAGATATCGGGTGACACTGTCACCCGATATAAAAATGTTAATAAAGATAGTAAAATGTTAATAAAGTAATAATGACAACTATTTATGTCGTGTACGCGAAAATGCCCCAATAATTAGCATCTGGTTAGTGGTTACTTGATGCACAGATTTTGTAGCTAATAGCAACAAACTTTGGTCTGTGAAACGAAATTTGATAGACTGGATCAGTGGATCCCTGACTGAGGACATTTAAATAACGGTCCAGCAACTTTTAGTCTGCTCTTTCACTTAAATTCCTACTGAAATATTATCGAAAATTCTCAGAGTTGGCTCTCGAATTTCCTACTTTTTGTCAAAAATTTCCTACTTTTAAAAATTTCCTACATTCTTAGAATGCGAGAATGCGGGTTTTTGGATATGGGAATATTACAAATTACAAATTACAAATTACAAAGTTACATTTTGATAAACTGTTGGATCTAAACGACAGTAATACTAATAATAATATCCCCAGGTTGCAGCTAGTGTTATTGGGTATACTAGTGCTCGCAGTCCTGGACTTCGTTATTGGGTGTAGCATCGCTGATGGACCATGTAAGTGTACTGTTATTATACACATTAGAAGTACATTTGTAAATGTGCACGTGTGCACGTGTACACTGTACACGTGTCACCGTGGTGAGGCTCGCGTGCTTTTATTTAGAGGCACCTGTTTTTAGTGCACGTGTACATTTGTAACAGTGCTGCGAGGTAGAGGAGGATTGAGTAATTTGTCCCAGCCTGCCGTGATCTGTAACGTTATTATCATTATTATTCTCCTCTTCGCTGCGTTTACAAGACCTGTTTAAGTCGATCAAGAAGAGCAAATAGTTCTCATTCATCAAGCTTAGGCTGGAGACATTTCCACGTGATAATTAGCAGTTAGCACGTGACTGTGTTATTAAATGTCAGTCACAGTCACAGTCACAGTCACAGTCACAGTCACAGTCACAGTCACAGTCACAGTCACAGTCACAGTCACAGTCACAGTCACAGTCACAGTCACAGTCACAGTCACAGTCACAGTCACAGTCACAGTCACAGTCACAGTCACAGTCACAGTCACAGTCACAGTCACAGTCACAGTCACAGTCACAGTCACAGTCACAGTCACAGTCACAGTCACAGTCACAGTCACAGTCACAGTCACAGTCACAGTCACAGTCACAGTCACAGTCACAGTCACAGTCACAGTCACAGTCACAGTCACAGTCACAGTCACAGTCACAGTCACAGTCACAGTCACAGTCACAGTCACAGTCACAGTCACAGTCACAGTCACAGTCACAGTCACAGTCACAGTCACAGTCACAGTCACAGTCACAGTCACAGTCACAGTCACAGTCACAGTCACAGTCACAGTCACAGTCACAGTCACAGTCACAGTCACAGTCACCGCCATATTTAGCACCCAAAAACAAATGAGGTATTTGTTCTGTATTTTTCCGTGACCAACATGGCATTTATATACCTTTTTTACGGTGATTATTTTCATACCAACAACACTACCATACTTGTAATGATGATAGTCTGCATCTCAATCAATAGAACTGGACAACTAATCCATACATAATTAACATACCAGACACATAACCAGCACACATTCCCCAGCTGGAATGACAGGCTTCAACTCTACTAGTTTCCATGACAACCTCTATCCTGGATTTGCAGAAAAACAGACCTTTTTCACGGTACTGGGCGTATTCTTCCCGACCTGTACCGGACTGATGGCGGGTGTGAACATGCAGGGAGACCTCAAGAGTCCTCACAATAACATCTCCACTGGGTCCCTCGCTTCTCTTGCTGTCAGGTACACTCTTATACTGGTGTAATACTCATTATTATTAAACGGTGCACTAATAATCAGTAATAATGATCATGATTAGGTACATTCTACACTTATAATTATAAAAGGTACATAGCATAATCATAATCGTAGCTAACCAAGTAATGATAATGAGAATACGGATTTTGTCAATGTACCCGTCGTTTGTCGACTAAAGGTAACCCAGGAAAGTAGCACTGAGTTAATACTTGGTACGATCCCGTGACTCATCATAAGTCACGATACTAACAATTGTATTTTCAGCGGGTTTCTATACTACATGTTTGTGATTCTGTTAGCGTGTACTGTGCAGAAGGAACTGTTATTGTCTGACTATATGATAGCATCTGAGGTAAGAAGAATACAAATATACCGCCCTAATTATCAACTGGGCAACACTTTTTATTGGGTTGTTAAATAATTTATTTAAAATCTATATCTGGTCTGATATGTTTATTATTCGTTCATTAGTTTGTAGTCAGGAAGTAATTCAAAATAAAAGATCAGCAACTATTTCACCTCCTTTATTTCTTAACATGAGGTATTGTCAGTATCCTAGATACACTGTAGAAACTGATTAGATCCTGGAGTAGAATGCCCACATCCCATGAAATTAGTTATTTCCTTTGTGTGGTTACCTCATGTAACAAAGAGACATGTATTACAACTCAGTACTGTCCTGGAACCTGAATTTACAATAAGATCAACACTATTCCTTTGGAATTATTAGGTGATAAAGTGAGATACTGGTTTAGGAAATATGGTGATTGTTGGTGTAACGGGTGATGACTAAAAAATGGAACTTTTTTCAAGGGTCTTTTTAGTGTCGATAAAACTATTTTTGGTTCAAACCAATGAAACAGCGTTGTAAAGCGGGCAATTTTGAACAAGTGTGGTCTATGACAAGCGCCCATGAGCCCATTTTGATTGGTTCAGGAGGGCTTCTTTCTTCAAGCTCAAAAATCCGTCTGTACAGTTGGGCCTAAAATCGTGTTGGCGCAGTATCTTCTTTTGTGCCCTAGGGCCCATGTAGGCTTTCTAGCCATATTTCGGGCATGTACATGTGTTTCCAGGACTCCAAAGAAGTCCTCTATGGGTTGAGATTGTCAAAATTTACTTTGATCGATCACTTTTTGGACGAAATTAACCCTACATATTTTCGAATTTGCTCACGACTTCTCATTTTTGGGTCTTATCTCTAATCCTGAAGGCTTTGACACCTTTCAGACAACAAACATTTAGTCATGTGACTGCCCTGGAAATATAACCGAGAGTACAGCCAAAACGGATCACCAGGGAGCCGGTTATGTGACTCACCAGCAGTTCCTACTGGGTCATTTTCGTAAGTGCCATAATACAGGATGGCATTTTTGTCTCTGTAGCTCTGGCTACCGACCTCTGCTGCTAAAATCGCTTTAGGATGTGATAGATGGGAAGTTTAGGCATACTCTCTGCTAAAAAGTTTTTGGTATGGAAGCTTGAACTACCTGTGAGGCGACTTCTGTGAACAGTGCTTTACTGTAAAAATTTTATAGGACCCCTCCCCTAGTTCGAGACCATTATCGGGGACAAAGATCAACCAATTTGATCAAATGGGGGTGGAAACTGTTCGAGTATCGTTCAGAGTATTAACTGGTGGTTGTGGTAAAATATCAAAATGTTGTTCAGGTGGAAGCTGAGGGCTAAAAAACATGTAGTCCCATTTTTTATTCATCACCCGTTAGCCATTAAATCACTAGCATTATGTAAGTTAAATTAAAAAGTTAAGTAAGTTGAACATCTAAAAGCAAAACGCCGAACTTTTGCGTCTCGAAGTCAGAAGTGATATAATAAGATTACGTCATATCTTCATTTCCGAGAGCGGTCAAGTTTGTTAACAAAAGCGAATACACAGTGTACAAGTATATAGTGTCACACTACACAGTACGATATCTGTGCCTTTTAGATTTCCTTTGTAGTTACTACAGCTCAGCTCTCTTCAACAATGTACAGTGTCACACAGTGCACGCAGCATTAGCGTTAAAGTGGGATATAGTCTACTTTTACATGTATTCGCTGTGTAAATACATCAGTTGTCCATACCTTCAAATATTTTACATCTTGAGAATTTTAAGAATTTGCGGCGTGGCCGATACGTAAGAGATATTTGTCAATATCGACCGTTAGTCAAACTCTAACTAAGTACTAGTACCATATCTTTTAGTATTTCTTTACATTCCCTCTTTATTTAAATATTTATAAGGACTAATACTATAAAGTGTATTGCTATATTATCCTGTATAGTGTATATAGTATTATATATAGTGTATCCCGTGTGATGTAACCTACAGATTCGTCCTGTGAAATGGGAATAATACTTCGTCAAAATACAAAAAATAGTTTGGGTCACTACTTAATGGGCAGGTGCTGTCAATACTCAAATAGCTGAATATGGCAGATTTGTGTATTTATGTATGATATGTAAGCTACTGACGCACAGAATGATTCCTTATTAAATAAAGCGTGTATATTTACGGGGTTGTGAAGCTGATAGTGCTGCCACAGAATTAAAAACCAACCGACTGGTTCATTCAAGCTTTTTCCTGTCTGGGTTTAAATTAAATCATACCAGAGAACAAGTGGAGATCAATTATAAGATAGTTGTGAATTTCGAGTTTCTATTCGTGTAGAAAGGTGGTTACAACTCATGTTGTAAGATGTTGTAATATCGTGATTTGGATTTAATGTAGCGCGCGATCAACATTTCATATTTAAAAGTTTTTAGGCAGCGTTCACCTCGTTATAAATTGAATGCGCGCGCGATTTATAATTGTCCAGATTTTGGCAAAATCTATTAACTCTCACTCAGGTTAGGTTTATTCTGGTTTTGCACAGATGACTTTTTTTGTGGTTCGAATTAATCGAAGTTGTCTGAGCACAAAAATGATGTCGCTCATTTACAATTAAGTGAACGGAATTAACGGGTGTCGGGAGACGTGGCTGGCTAGCTTAGTCAAATCATCAGCTTAATAGCCAAAAGTGTTTGGCTCACACCAATTCTTGCTTCAACTTTGACTGAAACTATAGCTCCCATCCATTTCAGATCTCGTGGATAAGCTGGATGTTCCTGATAGGACTCTACATCGCCTCCCTGTCCTCAATACTGGGTAGTTTGTACGGTGCTCCCAGAGTTTTCCAGTGCATCGCTCTAGACAACATCATCCCCATCATAGGCATATTCGGCAAAGGAGTGAGTTGAACAAAACTTACTTTTCTTTCATTTCAAATTCCAGTGATCTGATTACGATAAACCTTTATAATCAGACTTATTGTTGTACAATGTAGTTGCTATACTGATCAGTAATCACTATTTTTGTAGTTGCTAGGATTACCAAATATTTGGCGGCTCCACACACTAACACCCTCACTCCGCAGAGAGGAGCTAATAACGAGCCAGTGATAGCGACTATCACCGTCAGTCTAGTCTCCTGTTGCTTTGTTTTAGTGGGACATCTTAACATACTGGCTCCCATCACTGCTATGCCCTTCCTTCTCACCTACGCTGCTGTTAACTACGCTTACTTCAGTCTTGCTATGACGTGAGTTATTTCACTCTGGGTCTGGTGAATAAAGTGGTCACGTGTTACTAAATGTCACTAAATGGTCACGTGATGTTGTTGAGATCCTCTGGTTATTAGTTTGAGAGCAAGTTAATACAAAACGACAAGGGATCATTTCCATACCCCCTGTTCAAATATCATCTCACACTTTTTATTGATAAAATATGTGTGATTGTTCAGGGAAGAGAGGTCAACTAAACCAGAGTCAATACTGGACCAATACAATACAGAAAGTACCCCAATAATGAAGGATAGTGAAAATAATATGAATAGCTCCGAATGTAAGTTTAAAACCGTTATTAGTGTCAATTTTTTACAAGGTTTTAGCGTTTGCAGCTGCTGACACGAGCTTTTTGGCTGTCAAAATAAGTCTCTATAGCTGCTCGTTGGAGTCTAAATTTGAAGATGCTGCTTCAGCGCAACAGTTGGAAAACCAGTATTCTTTTTACGTTTTTCGAATTGTTCGAGTTAAACTGGTCCGGCTAGAAGTTTCACTGCTACATTGCTGTGTTGGAATTAGCTGGGCTATTACAAAACATTTCAGCCTACCCTCTTTTAGATGCGTACAACGACTCGGTCAAAGATGAGAGGAGGGTTTACTGGCACGAGCATCTCCAGAGCAAGTGGCTCACTTTCGTTGGGGTACACACTTTTAACTTTTCACTTTCGTTGGGGTACTCATTTTTAACTTTTCACTTTTGTTGGGGTACTCACTTTTAACTTTTCACTTTTGTTGGGGTACTCACTTTTAACTTTTCACTTTTGTTGGGGTACTCACTTTTAACTTTTCACTTTTGTTGGGGTACTCACTTTTAACTTTTCACTTTTGTTGGGGTACGTACACACTTTTAACTTTTGACTTTAAACCAGTCGGTAGTCTTAGGACCTGGGTTGTCTTTTTGGTTTTGGTACAAGCAGTTATTCAAACTGTGGATTAAATCTTTGTGAAATGAAAATTCATGCGCTCTTTTAAACTCGGCAATAAATGAGTACGAATTCCACGGAATAAGTCCAAAGATTCTTTAATTTACGACTTTTCCAGGCGTTACTATCAGTCCTGATGATGTTTCTTATTCACTGGTTGTTTGCTCTTCTGACAACTGCCCTTGCCACGATGATCTACTTCTACACCCGTACCACCAGTCCCGGAACTAAACCTGGTAAGTTCAAGATACATATCAGTAAATCTCCTGATGAATTGGGGGATCCTCTAATATTTGAAAATATGAACCGGTCTTATGAACACTAAAACTAGAGAACTAGGGATTAACGGTAAAACTGTGCTTAATTCTTTAATTATAGTTACACTACAAACACTAATTTGGTGACTGTTGTACACTACAAACACTAATTGGGTGACTGTTGTAGTGTTGTACACTACAAACACTAATTGGGTGACTGTTGCAGGAGCGTCCAGTTTCGTGTTGTCTAGGTGGCTGTATCATGTGGTGCGGAGTGTGGTTCACCCTCTACCTGCGGAGGAGAAGATTGTCATAGCAACAGAAACTCCCGAGATGAGTTACAAGACGATGCAGCTGACGGATGAGAACACAGACTATCAGGAAAGGGAGAAGGTTCACCAGTCTGTCATCTCGGAACAGATCGAAACGTAGCAAGCTATCCACTTTCACTTTCACTTTCACTTTCACTTTCACTTTCACTTTCACTTTCACTTTCACTTTCACTTTCACTTTCACTTTCACTTTCACTTTCACTTTCACTTTCACTTTCACTTTCACTTTCACTTTCACTTAAGGCTGTGCAATTCGAGTTGGTAAACATGTGTCATGTGACTGTGGGAGAGTATCTAAAGTTGTTATGGTCATCTTGTTGTTTCTTATAGTTTTCTAGGCGAAGATAAAAGATTCCCAGCAAAAGCTCTTTTTAAAGCTTCAGCTAGAGTAAAAGGCTTTTCATTCGAGTACTGTTAACGCTCCGGTATTTGATTTAAAGGCTGTCTGCATTGGTAAGCTTTAAGATGGTGTCGAGCCTAAATTTTTAATCTGATTTAAGCTTGAAGTTGAAGTTAGTTAAAAAAAACCCTAGGCTGTTTTGTTATTTATTTAAATTGTTTATAAATTGTGGACAGGAGATTATTAATTATATGTAAGTATGACCAATTTGTTTTACATGTTTTACATGCACTACATAGGCAATAAAAATAAAGCGTTTAATAAAACTATCAACACTTACGACTATTTCTGGAGAGACTGTATAAATTGATTGCAGTTGCGAAGTTGTTTGTATAAGATAAGCTTGGACTCAAATATCACTCAAATGGTCCAGTGCTAAGATTCATTTCGTGCACATTTTTATTTATTTTATTACATAGACATAGTATTTATTCAAATATTTTACTGTGAATTAATTTGAAAGTACTCATTCAATTTTATGTGATATCGGATTGATATGATTGAAATTATGTAGTTTCGGTGTTGGTGTAAGTAACAATATCTGTGAATGTGTTATATTGATTAACTTGGAGACTGTTGAATATTATCATTTTTATGGAATGCAATTTTGTTTTAAGATTGGTGCCTCAAATAATTCATAATTTCACTTTCACTTTTAGTTAAGTTTAATTTAAGATAAATAATTACATATTTGTGACCATGACATAACTTTAAAGTTCAAAAATTTATTTATAAACATGTTTCAATTTATTTTCATTTGCAAATGTAAATGTTGTGTACATATTTATTATGTAATTTCGAAAAATTGCTGAAAATTCGTCAACAAATTATTGTTTTGCTTGTCGATTTATCATCAATTCTAAAGAGTAGCTAATAAACATTAGTTATAATTGATGACAAATCAGGTTCTGTCGGCACTTTTCATGTTTTGTATAACTGAACTGCTTGCCTGCAATTTATAATACTGCAACATCGGGTTCATGTTTGCGTACTTAATTTAACTAGTAAGAGTGCCTTCGAGAAAAAATTAAAAATACGCAAGGCCAGAATATTTTGCCTTGTTCTGAACCGAAAAGCTGACAGCAGCTGTAGAAAGTGTAGCAAGTGTAGCAATAAGTGTAGCAAATGTAGCAAATGTAGCATAACCCAAAACAAACTATAACACTATAATAACTTAACAATACCATAAAAATCCCTATACTCACCGCCACTCAGTGTAAAAGAAGAAGTCAGTTAATCTAAAAGAGTTGATTTCCTGTTGTGTATCACACGATGTGTTATACTGTGTTGCTTGTTTATCTGCTTGTCTATCTGCTGAACACTGTGGTCGGTGTCCCAGGCACTGTCCGGAGCTACACTTCCTTAAATCAGGACGTTAGTGTTCCTGACTCCTTGCTTGCTCCCGTCTCCCTTACTTACAGACACAGGAATAAAGTTGGAACTGTCCGCCGGGTAGAGAGGTTCGGGGTGAGTTGTGAGAATATGGTTTATAGTGCAGAGACTGCTGCAATTATGTGTAGTGTCTCTAAATGTTGTTTAAAGCGCAGAGACTGCTGCAATTATGTGTAGTGTCTCTGAGTGACAAGGGATTTCCTTTGTCAGTTTCAACATGACGTTTCAACATTACGTTTGCATTCTGTAACTTAAATTGTAACTTTGCGCGACTGATAATTACACTAGAGCCGTGGAATTAGACCAATAAACCTAACATAAGTCATGACCTACACTCCACACCCAGATAGGGTTGTCACAGATAGAAGAGTTAGGTCACAGTGGCCACGTGATAAGGAGCTATGGAGTGGGACAGCTGAGGGACGACTGTACGTCCACCATCTTCAGAGGCGACGTCGCCCCCGCCCTCACCACCTCTCTTCAGAACGATTACCTCAGCCTTCAGTCACGCTTCACCCTACCTGAACCAACTCGTGTTGATACTAACAGGTCTTGTGAAACTTTTCGTTAGTCATGAGGGATAAATCATGCCATTTTGACTGGACTTTATTGATTTATCAGTTGAGTTATTAACAAAATAACCATTGCTGCGAATGTTTCGTTTATCACCCGAGAACCTTAACTCGCAGTACGAAGACAGTGTGTAAGCCAATTGAGTTTCTGAACACAACAATTACAAGAAGAACTCATGTCTATAGGGTACGAATAATCATGTTTCATAATACTAATACAGCTTGTCACTAATTTGATAGGTTAACCTTGAGAACCAATTTTACTAGTTGTACGTTACATCTTCACAGCGGGGATGGGGGGGGGGGGGCGCCAACAGGCAACGTTACATCTTCACAGCGGGGATGGGGGGGGGGGGCGGGGTGGGGACGCCAACAGTTACATCTTCACAGCGGGGATGGGGTGGGGGGGGGGGCGCCAACAGGCAACGTTACATCTTCACAGCGGGGGGGGGGGGGCCCAACAGGCAACGTTACATCTTCACAACATCCCAAGCCTTTGTTGATAAACACAGTAATGTCCCAGATATAATAGTGCACAGTTATAATTATACCCCATCTTATTACCATTATCACTAAGACTCCAGGTCAGTGGTGTTGATTACTCCAAGATGCTCTGCTACCCTGACTGTGACAAGTCCACTGTCCAGACTCCAGTCTTCAACGAGACAGTAGGACTCAGCTACCGCATTTCTAACTGGTACTACATTATGCTAGGTCGTTGTTGTACTTCGATCGTTTAGTTTGGTTAAGGAATTAAGGGTCGGTTTTTTGAGATCACGGCAAAATATTTACGATCTTTAGTATATTAAAATATTAACTTCCATTGCTTGTTAGAAAGCAAGGATTATCTCCAAATCAAGGGCAGATATTGGGAATCCACTCTTTCACCCTAATCAACTTTCCTGCAGGTACTTTTGTACGGCTGCATCATGTGATCCACTCTTTCACCCTAATCCACTTTCCTGCAGGTACTTTTGTAAGGCTGCATCATGTGATCCACTCTTTCACCCTAATCCACTTTCCTGCAGGTACTTTTGTACGGCTGCATCATGTGGTCCACTCTTTCACCCTAATCCACTTTCCTGCAGGTACTTTTGTACGGCTGCATCATGTGGTCCACTCTTTCACCCTAATTAGCTTTCCTGCAGGTACTTTTGTACGGCTGCATCATGTGATCCACTCTTTCACCCTAATCCACTTTCCTGCAGGTACTTTTGTACGGCTGCATCATGTGGTCCACTCTTTCACCCTAATCCACTTTCCTGCAGGTACTTTTGTACGGCTGCATCATGTGATCCACTCTTTCACCCTAATCCACTTTCCTACAGGTACTTTTGTACGGCTGCATCATGTGGTCCACTCTTTCACCCTAATCCACTTTCCTGCAGGTACTTTTGTACGGCTGCATCATGTGGTCCACTCTTTCACCCTAATCCACTTTCCTGCAAGTACTTTTGTACGGCTGCATCATGTGGTCCACTCTTTCACCCTAATCCACTTTCCTGCAGGTACTTTTGTACGGCTGCATCATGTGGTCCACTCTTTCACCCTAATCAGCTTTCCTGCAGGTACTTTTGTACGGCTGCATCATGTGGTCCACTCTTTCACCCTAATCAGCTTTCCTGCAGGTACTTTTGTACGGCTGCATCATGTGGTCCACTCTTTCACCCTAATCAGCTTTCCTGCAGGTACTTTTGTACGGCTGCATCATGTGGTCAGCAGGTGGGCCGTTACTTGAGACTAACCTTTGACTTGCTGTACCCGGAGGAGGGAGGGGACATGAGCATTCACCAGAACATCAATAACTTTCAACCGGATCATCAACCTCCCCACTGCAGAACTCGTCAGTTCTTTCAACTTTCAACTATCAACTATTAACTATTAATTATCAACTGTCAATGATCAACTATCAACTATCAACTATCAACCATCAACTATCAACTATCAACTATCAACCATCAACTATCAACTATCAACTTCAAATTTTCAAATTTTAACTTTCAATTACCCTTGACAATTCATTTCACAAACTTTGTTTTCAGAGTATAATCGGTACTTCCACAACTACGGTGCAGGGTATTTCTCATCGATTAAAGGATACCCTGACGATCAAGTAGTGTTTTTATCACATGATAAACTTACACAAGTTTGCCACAACTTTTCTTACGTCGGTGAGTAATTAATCATGTGATTTTGTGAAAGTAAAACGTTTTCGGTACTATTAAATTGGACAAAAAATTCTATTCCCAAATAAAATTTTTTGATAATCAGAAAATCATAAAAATATAAAACTTAAGGTTTAGTTACTTAATCTGATTCAGTAAGTAAGCCTGACATCAATTCGATACCTTTTACTGTTCAACAATACCTTCCATTTACAGGATACCATGGTATTGGTGATGATTACAGACAACTGAAGTTAATAACTAATAAGAACCGTCTTGGACTACGAGCAGCGGAACACGTTAGTCATTCCTGAGGGACCACTTTTATATAGTCATTCCTGGGGGACCACTTTTATATAGTCATTCCTGGGGGACCACTTTTATATAGTCATTCCTGGGGGACCACTTTTATATAGTCATTCCTGGGGGACCACTTTTATATAGTCATTCCTGGGGGACCACTTTTATATAGTCATTCCTGGGGGACCACTTTTATATAGTCATTCCTGGGGGACCACTTTTATATAGTCATTCCTGGGGGACCACTTTTATATAGTCATTCCTGGGGGACCACTTTTATATAGTCATTCCTGGGGGGACCACTTTTATATAGTCATTCCTGGGGGACCACTTTTATATAGTCATTCCTGGGGGACCACTTTTATATAGTCATTCCTGGGGGACCACTTTTATATAGTCATTCCTTGGGGGACCACTTTTATATAGTCATTCCTGGGGGACCACTTTTATATAGTCATTCCTGGGGGACCACCTTTATATAGTCATTCCTGGGGGACCACTTTTATATAGTCATTCCTTGGGGGACCACTTTTATACCCTTGTATATACCATTGCATCCTAGTATTCTATAAAACTAAAAGAAAGCTACGTAATTTATTAATAAAGCTACTAGTAAAACAAAATAGATGAATATTAATGACGAATTATCACATTGATCTTACGATACTTCAGGTTCTAGGATCCGAATCAGTGATCCATCTCGAGGGGGACGGTCTCCAGGGTCCTACTTTGTACAAAAGCAGGAAAATAAGAGTAGTCATCCCAAAGGTTAGCTGTCAACCTTCTTTTCAAAACTTTTAAGAAATATATCCAAAACCAAACATAGGCAAGAAGTTTATATCTTTATATAATATGCTTCATTGTGATTTATTGAGTATTTTGTTTTAACACTTGTGAATATGCACATGTTTATAACGCGTCAATTTTCAGGATTCTTCATTAGAGTACGATTTCCTGATCGACATGAACAGTGCTTCCTCTAAAACTATTTACTCTGTACTGATGCTGATAAACTCTTCATTAATTTTCATTTCACTGAACGAAACCTGAACGAAATTTTGTTTTTTGATAATATTACTGAAAAATTGTAAGTTTTGTAGTAAAATGTGAAAAAATAAGATATATTTAGTTCGGAAAATGTAAATTTAATGTATGCCAGAACAGTGTAAGATGGTGTATAAAAGTATGAAGTAAAATTACTCAATTCATAATCACAATTCACAACGGATCCGTTTCATTACTGTTGAGTGTTTAAACCGTTTGATAATCAGGCAAAACGACAGGGATCACAAAATTTAAAAACAATTGAAAGGTATCTTTAGTGTTTCATTACTGTCTACACTCTACAATTTACTTGATTGAAAGGTATCTTTAGTGTTTCATTACTGTCTACACTGTACAATTTACTTGATTGCTGTTGAAATCCGTTTTATTACTGTTAACATCACACTCCTGAACTTCAATCGCTGGACCTCTAAAATATGACACCCCCCTCCCAGTGGAGGGTTGTGTACAGAATCCCTGCTTAATCCCGGTCTTGCTCAAAGTACGCACAGTCACAAAGTCCCTGAACTTTCTGTTTCTCCAGTACAGCAACAGTGGGTTAACAGCTGCATTTCCGGCTGTGCACAGAATGTAAGTACTACTCCACAGATACCAAAAAGCAAACAAGTCAGTCTCATCTACTGTCAGTCCGTCCGCCAGGTACTTACACCACGCTGCGAAGATGGGAATGTTGAAGATGATGTACATGGTTGTCACCAGGATAATGGTTACTGTAGCGTATAGTTTAGGGGATGTTGGGCGTTTCTTTAGGCTGGATTTGGAGAACCCGAACGTTTCCCCCAGGACCCTGCTGTTGGATCTGAGGAGAGTGATGGTGGAGACAAGACAGCTGATAAATATAGGAATGATAGGAGCTGCTAGCTGCAGAACCCCAGTTGCTATATCGTAGTAGAAGTACCAGTTAGACTCAGACTCCGTTCCCCCATCCCAGCAGTAAAGGTCAGCTCTAGAGTAGATGAAGTGGATCTCTCCTGCTAGTAGAGGCACCAGGACTCTGAGGACTATGTAAAAGTAGTAGACCCCTATCATACCCAACACAAACTTCCTGTTTATCACCACCAGAGGGTTTATCAGCACTATGGTCCTAGTAATACTCAGGACTGACACTAAGAACACTGATATAAAGGGGATGATAGTCCAGACTAGGCCCCAGCTCTGACAGAACATGGTGATTCCAAACAGGTGGGCTTCCCTGTGGTCGATGAAGCTGACTGCGGAGGGGAACGCTGTTGTTGTGGTGAGGAGGTCGTTAAATGAGATCAGCAGGTAGAGGATTGTTCGGAGATCCTTCTTCTGTTTTAGGAAGTGTCTGAAGAGGATCAGGTTGCCGGGTATCCCCACGGAGATGAACACAACACACACGATACCAAGGAAGACGTCTAGTAGGAATATGTTTTGAGGGTTATGGGCGTATTCTGGAGCAGGGTCTGTTGTTGTGTCACCCATTAATGTCATCCTAGTTTGTCTCGATTTAGTAAGTTTAAGATCTATTTGATTTTGTCCCAAAATCAAATGATAATCAGTTTTGTGGTAATCTTCAATCACAAGTTTCCAAACTTTTGCATGAATTCTGCCATTTAATGCTACATGTTAGCTAACAAACTAAAAAAGCAAACAAATGTTTGAATAGGAAGCTACAAGCAAAAACCACTACTTAGATGGCTAATTTCCAATACAAAGGTCTCACGGAACGCTATAATGCAGATAATAGCTCTACTTTACAATAAGATAATATAAGCTAGTAACATTGTCGCACTGTTATGAGAAGCCAAGAATAAACTGAAAACAAGCGAATGGCACAAAAGCTAAACGAACAGGAAATTAGAATAAATCAGAAGAAAGTGCACATCTTCTGAGCAAATATTTCTAATCATAATCGATCACTTGACCATCATGGTAACATACTTGGGATGCCATATCCGTGGTATTTTAGGTAAACCTAATGATTATTTATAAGCCTGAAAAGTGCTGCATGTACTTGAGAACATCATGATTGAAGAACACGTGCATTAACTGTTAAAGGTGTCACGTACCATTAATTTCCCCACTCTCTACCTTAACACTGACAGATGATACGTACAATGGGTGATATTTACATGTCTCACTCTCTTTTATAGTCTAAACAAGTTTGTTAGTGTAATCTCAGATAAATTCAGGTTTAATTTCTGTTTAATTCATGTTTAATTCCTGTTTAATTCCTGTAATGCCTTTACTATATGTCACTATTCTGACATGTAATGAGTAAGACAACTACGATCACCAGTCTGTCCAGTATAGTGCAGGACTTAGGAATTATGATAGGTACACCTAGATCACGCCTAGATAACTACTATACCTGGGGAGTGGCACCAGTTCTCCCGTACGGTGGGATATTAATAACCATTAGTGGTAGTGATATAACCACTAAAGATAGAGTAAGCTAACAGTAACTTACAATTATAGTTACTTTTGTTATCAAGAAACGTTAAGCTATGGTCTTTATTTATTATAACTGACCTGCTGGGTAATATAACAGAATATAATACGAACATTACAAACTGTCAAAAATTTAAAAAAAATGTGGTTGCTAATATGTGCATTGGTCATTGGATATTATAAATGCAATGAAATTACGATCGTTTTTCGTTGATTTAAAATGCACTTTTTTAAGTATATTAACATAAGTATAAAAAATAAAAAATATGTATAAAATAAAAGGCATACAAAATTCAAAAGACTTAAAATATAAAAGCTAAATATCTGATCATATTCAGTAATCACGAATGATTCTAAAATCAATCAATTCTAATTCTAATCGCATGTTTAACAATAAAACTTAGCCATTGCTGCCCAAAAAATTGTTATAATCTATTTGCATATCAACTAACTCTGATTATGGTGATTGTGCTAGTAATTTCTCAATACGTTGAATAAGTACCTGGATCAGTATACAAGTGTGTGGAGGAGAAGAACCATTGTTTTCACAAACCCGTGTAAAACTGTTCAACATCAAATATTGACCAATCAAAACCCATGGAATAACTGTCACGTGTCAAAACAAATGTAAATAGTCCGCCTCGCAGATCTAGTGATATTATAATCTAATATTAATAGCAATCATGTAATTAAAATTTATAATTGTGATCAATTTTGAAAGATTTCCGTGAAAAATTCCAGATTTTTCTTTGCGAGGAAAGATTTAGGACGATAAAACACATTATCTTCAAATTATCTTCATATTAAAGTCTTCTTCCTTGTTTGGACACAAACATAACTACATCATGCAGTATGAAATGCAGTTTATCATGCAGTTTATCATGCAGATACTATGCTATAAGAGTAGATAACGGATAGTTGCACTGGTCTCTGCAAGTAGCAACCCTGGTTCCCTACACGGATCTGATAGCAGAGCTTGAAGAGAGGGGCTCTAGTTGCACTGTTATCTGGTGGAAATCTGCGTGTGCCATGATCACAGTTCGGGCTGTTTCCAGTAGTTGGGCGTAGGACTTCGAGCTCTCTTCTGAGATACGATATAGGGGTCATGAAATGCAGAGTAAATAGTTTAGAGCATTATTTTTAAACATCTAAAGTAAACACTGTCAATTATTTGGTGCAATTTTTATTAACTAATGTTTGATTTCATCCTTCGATCTTGTTATCAGCATTTAACATCAAGAGTTATGGCTATTGAGTAGTACTGGGTGTAGGTTAAAATAAAGGTTGTAAAATATAAAACTTCGTCACATAAAAGCATAAAACAGCAGGAGGCACAATGTATGATAACCGGGATATGTTTACAAAATAACACAAAAGTCAAAAAGTATACTGACCGACACTGAGATGCACGGAAATAACGTTTCTGTCCATTGTGAGGCTCCAGACATTCATACTGTGGACCTCTCTGACTTCAGAGATACTGAGCAGTTCCTGCTCAAGCTCTTTATTCTTCACCTCCTCTGGCATTCCTGTGTAAGTGGGAGATTGTTAGGGTAGTGAGAATTTTGTTATGTTATATCTGGATACTAGTACATACATTATGTCATATCCATTGTAAAGACATCCATAATTCTGATTCCAGAATTGTCAAATATGCCGATTTATCTATAATAAACTAAACAACTACAAATTTGGCATTGCAATGCGGACCTACACACATTTACTATTTCCACTCACCCGATGGAACTAATTTGATCTGCGATATCACGATAGGTCCTAACTCCTAACTTAGTGGCGAAACGTACCTGTGTGCCGCCCCCCGCAAATTATTTGCCGCCCCAAACATTTTTTCTCGTGTCCTATAAAAAGGTCCGGCGTAGCCTTTTTTGCCGCACCCTACAGCTTTTTTTGCCGCCTGCCCCTCCCATGATAGCAAAAAGTACCCCAATTTTTTCAATTCGACCAAACGTTAAATTAAACGGGATGATATATTAGGACGCAATGAAACTACTATATACGTTTTTGCTTTGAAAAATACCTGAAATTCGGAAAACTGCTTCCCCCTTAAAGTTAATAGCGGGGGTAGCGGGGGCGGTCGTTTCGCCACTGCCCTATCTCGTCTACATTTTAACGTTAACTAATTTACGCCTGTCTAGTAGGATATCACTGTTTCTATACATAACAGTAAAGTATTCAATTTGAATGCCTACACCTTTTGTTTGATGTCTAATCTAAATGATCTGGAACAAAGACAAGTTGGCGTGGTGCCAACTATACTACAACTGTTGTTTTCTAATTCTATGAGGAGAACAAGGTGCTGCTCATATGATAGTCATTACATTACGGATCTCAACAACTTTACTACATTGAGAAACATATATTTAGTTACAATTTGGAACAAAAAAAGTTGTATAAACCGAATTTGAATTCAATAGCATATAATTATAATTATATATGTTTAATAGCATGATTTGCACAATTCAAAGCTGCAGTCTCCGTTAGAATCTATTTTGGCAATTTGCCCATATTTTGAATATTTTGAATTCGGTGATGGTAAAATAATGTATCATGCATCTCATGTTGCCGGATATACCCTAAAGTATTGTATTGACAGAACGACATATGTTCAGCTTGCAATCTCTTCACCTAATTAAATACGAATAAGGCATGTTTTGAGAGCTCCTGCTCGTATCACTTATATGTTTCAAAAACCCCTTCCATCTCATTTATGCATAAAGAAATGTTAAGTTACATCGTGACTAATACTATTTATAAAAGTTTGATTTAACTTGGTGAAATATCATATTCATAAATTAAGTATCTACTATCTAGTTTTTAGAGTATATCGTAAGGCTAGCCGCTTTGATATCGGCAATCTTTATTTTAATTTTGATTGTTGATATAAGCGGGATAAGAAACGACCAGTTTTAAGAAGCCGTATGCGTTCTTTGTTAAATCGAGTGTTCCAACACACCCGGCCGGCTGTGGGGGCAGTGGGCACAGTCAAACAAGCCTCTGATACAGGCTCGTGACTAAAACAGTAAAACTACGGGCAGGGAGGCAATGACATTGGCAGGTTAATTAAATTTGATGCGGAACACGGACAACCATCTGCATCAATGGAAGTGTAAATATCAAGATAAAAATAGTTCATTTATAAAAAAATAGTTGTAACCATTGTTTAAGACCATGTCAAAAACTCAAATATTCTAAACTCGATGAGGGTGGTGGCAACTCAGTGAACGCCCACTAATGTCAAATTTCGGGAATTTCATGTTGTCAACCACGTATTGAACTGTATGGGTGGGACTTAGTGCACAGACAGGAAATATTTTACTGCTGGTCAGTTGGTAGCTATCTAGTTTGCTATCTGTAGTGATGAGTGATCTGTCAGAAAGTGCTGCTGCCAATAAATAACTAAAGTGCCACGATTAGCTGTGGAAGATTAGCTGTGGAAGGCATCATCATATACAGGTATGAGCCAAGATAAACCTCATTCCTATATTTTCTTCATCGACTATAAGTGCACTGATTCAACATGGGAAAGATCTTACTGTTGGTAGCTATCGTGGGGTTCACCCTCGTCGCTATTGCTGACGCCCAAAGTAAATGCAAGCTCAACAAGAAGAACGTCAATAAGAAGGTAAAGCAGTTCGATGACTGTCTAGAGAAAGGATACCAAGCGGATGAGAGTACGGGTTGTTCCGCTACCGGAGAAGGGAGGCTCTCCAAGAAACAGAAGAAGCAGTGTGCTAAGGTAGAAAAAGCTGTGATGGCTTGTGGACACGCCTGTTCTGAACCTCCAGTTGATGGTGGGTGGGGTGACTACAGAGACTGGTCTGAATGTTCTGCTTCCTGCGGAGGAGGCACCAAGACAAGATCCAGAACTTGTTCTTCTCCTGCTCCTGCCAATGGCGGTGCTGAGTGTGAAGGAGATGCTGAAGAGACAGAGGGTTGCAACACTGAACCTTGCCCAGTTGATGGTGGGTGGAATAACTACAGAGACTGGTCTGAATGTTCTGCTTCCTGCGGAGGAGGCACCAAGACAAGATCCAGAACTTGTTCTTCTCCTGCTCCTGCCAATGGCGGTGCTGAGTGTGAAGGAGATGCTGAAGAGACAGAGGGTTGCAACACTGAACCTTGCCCAGTTGATGGTGGGTGGAGTAACTACGGAGATTGGTCACAATGCTCTGCTTCCTGTGCGGGAGGCACCCAGTCCAGATCCAGAACCTGCACCAACCCTGCTCCAGCATATGGTGGAGCAAACTGTCAAGGACAAAATACAGAGTCACAAATCTGCAACACCCAAGTTTGCCCACCTAGACTTCCATCCTGGCCTGGTGACTTTAAATGGAGCAGTGCTGGAGTTCCAGATGGTTATACTTGTATGAGAGTCATTGAATTTGCTGAACCGGAAGGTCACACTTGGCAGGATAATTTCTTCTGCTGGAAAAACGGAATGGCAGATCCTGGCCTGAGATGGTCAATGGCTGGAGCAATCACCGGTCAGAAATGTGTAAACATCGCTGAGGATGCTGATCCCCACACTTGGGGGGACAACTTCATCTGCGTTCCACAGGATTCTCCTTACAACTTCAAATGGAATTCGGCTGGTCCCCTTGCTGGACTTGGTTGCATCCAATGGCTGGAAACTGCTGATCCAGACACCTGGGCAGACAACTATCTCTGCCACGAAAATATGGAGGGCCCCGTTGTAACAGAACCTCTCCCCTCATGGCCTGGTGACTTCAAATGGAGCAGTTCTGGAGTTCCAGATGGTTACACTTGCATGAGAGTCATCGAATTTGCTGAACCGGAAGGTCACACTTGGCAGGATAATTTCTTCTGCTGGAAAAACGGAATGGCAGATCCTGGCCTGAGATGGTCAATGGCTGGAGAAATCGCCGGTCAGAAATGTGTAAACATCGCTGAGGATGCTGATCCCCACACTTGGGACGACAACTTTGTGTGTCTTCCCGCTGATTCTCCGTACGACTTCCAATGGAACTCCGCTGGTCCCATTGCTGGTCTTGGTTGCATTCAATGGCTGGAAACTGCTGATCCAGATACATGGGCTGACAACTATCTGTGTAACTAATGGACATTTGAACTGCCCAGAAATAGCTGAACATTAAGCCGATTTTATTAATTATAGTTACAAATAGAGAATAGAATATTTGACTGGAAAATATCATAGTTTAAATACAAAATTGAGATATTCTTGATAGGTAAACAGTGAGTCGTGATTTATGAGCTGTCCTAAAACCGTAAAGGGTAACCGGGCCGGATTTTCGTCTACAGTGGAGATGGTCCGGAGATGAGGAGACTTATTAAACTTCAACTGGGTACACTAGATGCCGAAGTTAATCGTCTACAAACAATTCTTCTTGTAAAAAATTTTTTCGATATCATATTGTGGTCATGAAAAACAATTTTCGGTTCGAATGATGGTTTATCTTAAAAGTTTAAACGCGATAGCTATCATAATTATAACACTTCTCATTGGAATGTCCCGGCTCCTGTCGCTATTTACTGTATAGACACGTGTACGGTCTGTTTGGAAATGGAATATTGTACTTCTTTATATACAGCAAACCCCGTTTCCTTGTCGTCATATTTTGTGGTAAAAAAAAAAATCAATCTCTTTCTTATTTGCATAAATACTTCGAACAATTTTACAAAAACTAATTCAGCAAATACATAGGAAACTAAAATAAACTTAATTCATTTTCTCTGATTAATCTTTTCATGCACGCACATCACAATTATTTACTAAATCATTGTTCACTACATGTAAAATACGGATTGGAGTATTGACGTATTGTTTATGAGTCGCATGGTTGCAATGCATTCTTGTGTAAAATTGTATTGATCCCGTTTGATGCGACAAGGAAAAATTCTCTTATCAGGAAAGGAATTTAAAATGGTTCTGGTTCTGGTTCTGGTTCTGGTTCTGGTTCTGGTTCTGGTTCTGGTTCTGGTTCTGGTTCTGGTTCTGGTTCTGGTTCTGGTTCTGGTTCTGGCTCTGGTTCTGGTTCTGGTTCTGGTTCTGGTTCTGGTTCTGGTTCTGGTTCTGGTTCTGGTTCTGGTTCTGGTTCTGGTTCTGGTTCTGGTTCTGGTTCTGGTTCTGGTTCTGGTTCTGGTTCTGGTTCTGGTTCTGGTTCTGGTTCTGGTTCTGGTTCTGGTTGAGGCTCTTGTTTGCATTTAACGTCAGACCAAATGATGTTGGTAGTACCCCTGTCACCATCCCAATAGATCGTTCCCTCCTCCGGGTAAAAGTTGAAGCTGAAAATTCTATCATCTGGGAAGTTAACATACCCTGTATGTGGAATGGTGCCTTGATCTATCTTTCCTTTCGCATCTGGTCGATGAATACCTGCATTCCATTTTACAGTCAGTGTGGAATCTTCATGGACGTTTATTGACGCGGATCCGGCTACGAATAAATTGCAGGAAGGTTTAGGTTCTGGTTCTGGTTCTGGTTCTGGTTCTGGTTCTGGTTCTGGTTCTGGTTCTGGTTCTGGTTCTGGTTCTGGTTCTGGTTCTGGTTCTGGTTGAGGCTCTTGTTTGCATTTAACGTCAGACCAAATGATGTTGGTAGTACCCCTGTCACCATCCAATAAATCGTTCCCTCCTCCGGGTAAAAGTTGAAGTTGTAAGTTCTATCATCTGGGAAGTTAACATACCCTGTATGTGGAATGGTGCCTTGATCTATCTTTCCTTTCGCATCTGGTCGATGAATACCTGCATTCCATTTTACAGTCAGTGTGGAATCTTCATGGACGTTTATTGATGCGGATCCGGCTACGAATAAATTGCAGGAAGGTTTAGGTTTAGGTTCTGGTTCTGGTTCCGGTTCTGGTTGAGGCTCTTGTTTGCATTTAACGTCAGACCAAATGATGTTGGTAGTACCCCTGTCACCATCCCAATAAATCGTTCCCTCCTCCGGGTAAAAGTTGAAGCTGAAAGTTCTATCATCTGGGAAGTAAACATACCCTGTATGTGGAATGGTGCCTTGATCTATCTTTCCTTTCGCATCTGGTCGATGAATACCTGCATTCCATTTTACAGTCAGTGTGGAATCTTCATGGACGTTTATTGATGCGGATCCGGCTACGAATAAATTGCAGGAAGGTTCTGGTTCTGGTTCTGGTTCTGGTTCTGGCTGAGGCTCTTGTTTGCATTTAACGTCAGACCAAATGATGTTGGTAGTACAAATGATGTTAAGCGACATCAATTACAATTAAAATTATATTTTCTATAGTGTTCTCTTCAAGACGTTTCTAGTATGAGGACAGTTGCCGTTATTTTGACTTGCCTGTTGGCTATAGTAGTTATCGACGCCAAACCAAAACCAGAACCGAGACCTAAACCTCCCTGCCTCTCGTTCGTATACGGATCTGCAACGATAAACGCTGACCAAAACGAACTGACTCTACAATGGGACAATAATCGACCGGATTCCAAAGGAACGATTGATCAAACAACTATTCCAAATACCGGATCCATTAACTGGGGTGATGCAGATCTTAAAGGTAAAAGTAGCGTATTCAACTACTACCCTGTGGAGGGAAAGATCTATTGGGATGGTGAAAAGAATGACAAAAAAGCGTGGTCTAACGTTAAATGCACGAAATGGGCTGATCCCAGTCCCTGCAAGCTGCTCGAATCCGAAGGCCGAACAATTACCATTAACGACGATTTCACACTGTCTCTAACAATGGACGATGGACCCGAAGCGGAATTTAAAGGAAAGATGGATTATCTCCAACCGGGACAGTTATCTTTGATCGGGACAGTAACCTTTGATCAACTTAAAATTTACAGCTTCACATTCTACCCTAAGGAGAAAAAGATCTATTGGGGTGGTAGCATGACCAAATATAGTAACTTGGACACTTGGTCTAACGTTGAATGCATAGCTTAGAAAATAGAACAAGGATAGTAACTTGGCCACTTGGTCTAACGTTGAATGCAAAGTTTAGAAATCAGAACTGGATTAAATCACTAATAATTTGTATCGTAATAAGATTTAGTAAATTTAAGATTAAACAGGGAAAATTAGTTAAGTTTATTTTAATTTAGCATGTGAGGAATTAATTTTGTTGTAAACTTGTAAACTTGTTCGAAGTGTTTCTGCTTAAATAAAAAAGAAATTGATTTGTTTTTAATTTTACCGCGGAATATAAACAAAAAAAAAGCAGCCGAAAAATTAATTTACAAATTATCTGCTAAAATTTTAAAAACGCAAAAAAAAGATGAAAAATTTGGATTTTTGACAGTTTTGAATGCCTTCGAGCGTTCATTTTAATGTCCGTTCATAATTATGTCCGTTTATTTAATGTCTGGTCAAATAAGGTCCGATAAGGTTAATAACATTATAAGCTATTATATCCAGGTAGGTGCGGATCGATAATATAATACGAAGTACGCCGGCGACTTGAAGTCGTTTATTCTCGATAGAGCGGAATATCTAATACCAAGCTGAACCACAATATGGAGAGCACAACAGAACGGCACCTTGTCTTTATGTTTAGCTTGTACTAGCTTTTGTATAAGTTGCTGGGGTGGAATAGAAATCCCAAAACACAGGCTGAATAAAATTAGTGCAATCGCACAGCGATGTATAAGACAAAAGACTGCTACAGGGGTAGACAGGGGTAGACAGGGGTAGACAGGGGTAGACAGGGGTAGACATGGGTAGACAGGGGTAGACAGGGGTAGACAGGGGTAGACAGGGGTAGACAGGGGTAGACAGGGGTAGACAGGGGTAGACAGGGGTAGACGGGGGTAGACATGGGTAGACAGGGGTAGACAGGGGTAGACAGGGGTAGACAGGGGTAGACAGGGGTAGACAGGGGTAGACAGGGGTAGACAGGGGTAGACAGGGGTAGACAGGGGTAGACAGGGGTAGACAGGGGTAGACAGGGGTAGACAGGGGTAGACAGGGGTAGACATGGGTAGACAGGGGTATACAGGGGTAGACAGGGGTAGACAGGGGTAGACAGGGGTAGACAAGGGTAGACAGGGGTAGACATGTGTAAACATGGGTAGACAGGGGTAGACAGGTGTAGACAGGGGTAGACAGGGGTAGACAGGGGTAGACAGGGGTAGACAGGGGTAGACAGGGGTAGACAGGGGTAGACATGGGTAGACAGGGGTAGACAGGGGTAGACAGGGGTAGACATGGGTAGACAGGGGTAGACAGGGGTAGACATGGGTAGACAGGGGTAGACAGGGGTAGACAGGGGTAGACAGGGGTAGACATGGGTAGACAGGGGTAGACAGGGGTAGACAGGGGTAGACAGGGGTAGACAGGGGTAGACAGGGGTAGACAGGGGTAGACAGGGGTAGACAGGGGTAGACAGGGGTAGACAGGGGTAGACAGGGGTAGACAGGGGTAGACAGGGGTAGACAGGGGTAGACAGGGGTAGACAGGGGTAGACAGGGGTAGACAGGGGTAGACAGGGGTAGACAGGGGTAGACAGGGGTAGACAGGGGTAGACAGGGGTAGACAGGGGTAGACAGGGGTAGACAGGGGTAGACAGGGGTAGACAGGGGTAAACAGGGGTAGACAGGGGTAGACAGGGGTAGACAGGGGTAGACAGGGGTAGACAGGGGTAGACAGGGGTAGACAGCTTGATAAATATCGTGCTTGCAAATTGGAAATAGTGTAATTATTGAGGTCTAACCTTCCATAAGAACACGGAGAGCATCTTTTAAGATGTTGATGGTCGTTATTAGGACCAGCGTTGCAAAGAAGAACGTGCAAATGGGGTCAGCTAACTTCCAATTCGGCTGGATATGGAGGGTATCATTCGTATGTTAGTTTTAAAATTGAGGTTGATGAGAGCTTATATTATATTAGCAGGTTTTAAGCTATCGATTTGTCAAAAATTGAATGCTGTAAACTGTAAGTAATTGTGTAAACTGTAAGTATGTGTATTAAATTATATGAAATAATTGTAGCTGATAATGCAGAAATCACCTTAAATTTGATGATGACAGCAGCCACCACCACCCCAACGCTTTGGATCAAATCACCGAGCACGTGGATAAATGCTGCGCGCACGTTTATATTCACTTTCTCCTGTGGCAAAAAATAGGATAATTCATGTGGTTATCCATATTGTTTTAACAGAACTACCAGATTAAGAAATTATACCAGATTCATCATTCAGGGTTTGGACAACATCTTTGAGTTTTACCTTTTGGCCGAAGTTGTCACTGCTTTTCCAAAGGTCCTCTGGGAATAGGACCACACCCATACTGAACATTTTAGCTGTTTAAAGTTACTTTTAAATCAGCGAACTTGATTACTCAAAGTCTAACCATTTTTGAAATACGACCATTTTGGGCTTTTGCACTTTGATGGCATATAGATTAGGAACCGACCGGTCTGGGGTTTTGGCTGCCGGACCGGAATGGCCGGATATCAATCTTTTTTCCGGTTTGTTGGATTTTGCCAGATCTTGCCGGAAACTTTAAATTAACTCCTTTTAAACCTTTTAATGCAGAAATCACCTTAAATTTGATGATGACAGCAGAAGAAATTATACCAGATTCATCATTCAGGGTTTGGACAACATCTTTGAGTCTTACCTTTTGGCCGAAATTGTTACTGCTTTTCCAAAGGTCACTTTTAAATCAGCGAACTTGATTACTCAAAGTCTAACCATTTTTGAAATACGACCATTTTGGGCTATTGCACTTTGATGGCATTTAGGAACCGACCGGTGTGGGGTTTTGGCTGCCGGACCGGAATGGCCGGATATCAATCTAATTTCCGGTTCGTTGGATTTTCATGGATTTTGCAAGATCTTGCCGGAAACTTTAAATTAACTCCTTTTAAACCTCTATCATTTAAAAATTGGTATTAAAAGCCAATAATTTAATTCATCCGAATATCTGGTCGGTTCCTAATATAGATATTGCAAGAATTGAATTAGAATTGTACAGCAAGATCTTGCTTATTTTGACTTTAGAGTATAAAGTTAGTATATGAACAAATAATGTAAGGCTAATAAAAACACTTCAAAACTGACACAGTATTGACGAGGACAGCAAGACAAGCAGTGATAAGCATGGGGTTAGCGTCAATCTCGTAATCCTGGTCTACAATCCGGAATATAGCCAGATAGAACAGCACTCCTGTGACCACCCAGATAGTAAAAACCGACATTACTGCTCCTATCACCTCTGAAACAAAATGCTATTACGGACACCACTGCTCCTATCACCTCTGAAAAAAAATGCTATTACGGACACCACTGCTCCTATCACCTCTGAAACAAAATGCTATTACGGACACCACTGCTCCTATAACCTCTGAAACAAAATGCTATTACGGACACCACTGCTCCTATCACCTCTGAAACAAAATACTATTACAGACATCACTGCTCCTATCACCTCTGAAACAAAATGCTATTACGGACACCACTGCTCCTATCACCTCTGAAACAAAATGCTATTACGGACACCACTGCTCCTATCACCTCTGAAACAAAATGCTATTACGGACACCACTGCTCCTATTCCCTCTGAAACAAAATGCTATTACGGACACCACTGCTCCTATCACCTCTGAAACAAAATGCTATTACGGACACCACTGCTCCTATCACCTCTGAAACAAAATGCTATTACGGACACCACTGCCCCTATCACCTCTGAAACAAAATGCTATTACGGACACCACTGCTCCTATCACCTCTGAAACAAAATGCTATTACGGACACCGCTGCTCCTATCACCTCTGAAACAAAATGCTATTACGGACACCACTGCTCCTATCACCTCTGAAACAAAATGCTATTACGGACACCACTGCTCCTATCACCTCTGAAACAAAATGATACCTTCATTTAAATGTTACTTTTAAGATTTGTAATCGTTTGGGAGTTTTAGTTGTAGCAAATCGTAGAAATATTGTAAGAAATGCAGGTCCGTACTGACCTGCTCTGTAAAGTAAAGTAAGTACCGTACTGACCTGCTCTGTACCAGCCGAATGTCATGGTCTTGGTTTGTGGTCGTTTAGCGATCCAGATAGCTATCAAGGAGATAGAGTAACTTATGAAGTCTATTAACATGTGGGCAGCGTCCGTGAAAATAGCCAGCGAGTTTGAGAAGTACCCTCCTGTGATCATTAATTGTAATTAATGCTAATTAATGTTAATTAATGCTAATTAATGTTGTTGAAATAGCCAGCGAGTTTGAGAAGTACCCTCCTGTGATTATTAATTGTAATTAATGCTAATTAATGTTAATTAATGCTTATTAATGTTGTTAAAATAGCCAGCGAGTTTGAGAAGTACCCTCCTGTGATTATTAATTGTAAGTAATGCTAATTAATGTTAATTAATGCTAATTAATGTTGTTAAAATTTGCATATTTCTCTCGGCAGCAAATCTGAACTCGTGGATTTCAACAAACAAACGCTGTTTGGCCTAATTCTACGTACGTGGTACAATGCCGACCCGCGGTTAAACTTGAAGGGCTGTTAGAGGGCTGTATTACTGTAACATCCGGCTTATAACGGCCCTCTAACATCCGGCTTATAACGGCCCTCTAACAGCCGGCTTATAACGGCCCTCTCACAGCCGGCTTATAACATCCCTCTCACAGCCGGCTTATAACGGCCCTCTAACAGCCGGCTTATAACAGCCCTCTAACAGCCGGCTTATAACGGCCCTCTGACAGCCGGCTTATAACGGATCTCTAACAGCCGGCTTATAACGGCCCTCTAACAGCCGGCTTATAACGGCCCTCTGACAGCCGGCTTATAACGGCCCTCTAACAGCCGGCTTATAACGGCCTTCTGACAGCCGGCTCATAACGGCCCTCTAACAGCCGGCTTATAACGGCCCTTTGGCAGCCGGCTTATAACGGCCCTCTGACAGCCGGCTTATAACGGCCCTCTAACAGCCGGCTTATAACGGCTCTCTAACAGCCGGCTTATAACGGCCCTCTAACAGCAGATGACTGACCTAAAGCCTCAGTGATGGTGAAGAGAAGGCAGATGACAGAGGCTATAATGAGCTTGTTTCTAGCCTTATTGGTGGGGGGAGGGAGTTCTGTGTAGGTAGAGCACGTCTGGTCACTGAACTGTTCGGGATATAATTAATTAGAATACAATTAATAAGGATTTAACTGATTGTGATACAGGGTGTTTCAAAAGATTGGAAAGGATTATTTTTTTAAAACTGTGTATTCCGTGTTATTAACAACATTTATGACATTTAAGATAAATGTTGACTGATATTATATTATTATGATAATAAGAAAATACTGAAAAGTTACAATATTCTTCACCCACTCGCTCGTACCGAGCTGCTGTTAGATAAGCTGACCACACCGTTAGATTGGTCCTTGCGTTTGGAGGGCGTACTTAAGTTGACTCCACCGTATCCATTCCGAGCCTGGACCGCAACATTGGGTAGGAGAGGCGAACTGTCCATCTCTGAGGTCATACCTGAGTTTAATTACCGTGCGATTGAGCTTAAAGTTAATGTTTATGTGATTGTATTTATTATGAGTTTCTCATTGGCCCTGAATTGAAGTTGGACGCACCAAACTGATTCTTGCCGTATTGTTAGTTGAGCTCATCATGAGCATAATTGAAATATAGTATTCAATATTATAACTTTAGAACTTAACAACTTTACATTTATAACATTCTAACACATTTTATGTATAAGCCACTAACGAGCCTAAAATAAAGTGACTCAATTTCAATCTGTTGAAGGATTGTGATCCGGCTTAATAAGTTGTTCATTTGCCAAGATTAACCCTCTTTTGTTTTTTATCAAATATAGATAGTATGAAAAGTCGATGCATTATCAATGAAAGTTGCTATCTGGTTATAATAATAATGAACTTTATGTTCATGAAAAACGTGTGACCCTAACCAGTAATCATTGTTATTGGCATGTCGATCTCATCCCATTGTACATAGCGATGCCTATACCAAATTGACGTACACAAATCTTATAAAACAAATAACGGCCGATGGTGCACGAAAGTGCAGTGATTGGTGAATAGTGCAATTCCGAACCCTGTACCCACCGCACTTATATGTTGACTCTGTCTCACACCTGAAACTTAAAGTTGGAAAGATCCGTTTTATCGCTGGATTACTATACCTAGAATTATTGTATTAATATTTGTAATTCAATACAATGTATCGTAATTTCCTGTAATAATACTTATGATTATGACGATATTGTTAATATTCTATTAAGAAAAGGAGCCATCAATCGGTCTAACGAATGTAGATTAAGTTATTGTTTAAGTCTTGTACTCATAGAACAGTGTCCTCCAAGCTAGGTTAGTAGGTTCGTCACTTTTTTCCACATAGCTTTTTTTTCTCGATTTATTTATTATTTTTTTCTGTTAAGGAAAAATCCTTTCAAATTAGATTTTGAAGATGAAATTGATGTCAGTCATCTTATCGTGTCTCGTGGTATGTCAACTTGAAGCTCTGGGGTGTTTCAATAGTTTTAAGAGGGGTGCTTTAAAAGCACACAACGTTTACCGTAAAAGGCACAGAGTAAAAGCACTTAAGTGGAACAACTTGGTGGCAAAGAACGCTGGGGATTGGTGCAAATACCTCAGGGATCACAACAAGTTTGAACACAGTCAGGGCAGCGGTTATGGAGAGAACATTTACAAGTCCTGGGGGTCCTCTTCTGGTGGAGAGGGAGAGACAGCTGTTAAATCTTGGTACGACGAGATACAGCACTATGATTTCAAAAATCCGGGATTCTCCTTTAATACTGGACACTTTACACAGGTGCATTTGAATGTTTTAAATGACAAAAAAGTCTCAAAGATCACAATTTTGATAATTTGGGCTGCTACCAAGTATAGTTAGTGGTAATAGTTACGGCTTGCTTCCACAATGAAACAGTTTATCAGATCTTTCTTTGGTAATTTAACATTCAGTACCCCAATCCGTAAAACTACTTTATATTATAACTACCTGATAACAAGGCCTGAATATTTAACTATTTGTTCTTGTTAAGGTGGTCTGGAAGGGCACTACCAAGCTTGGATGTGGGATTGCAACTAAAGATAAATCTACATGGGTGTGCTGCAACTACAGTCCTCCTGGTAACTACCGTGGTGTGACGTCATGACACGTGGTGTGACGTCATGACACGTGGGTGTGCTGCAACTACAGTCCTCCTGGTACCTAACTACCGTGATGTGACGTCATGACACGTGGTGTGACGTCATGACACGTGGGTGTGCTGCAACTACAGTCCTCCTGGTACCTAACTACCGTGGTGTGACGTCATGACACGTGGTGTGACGTCATAACACGTGGGTGTGCTGCAACTACAGTCCTCCTGGTAACTACCGTGGTGTGACGTCATGACACGTGGTGTGACGTCATGACACGTGGTGTGACGTCATGACACGTGGGTGTGCTGCAACTACAGTCCTCCTGGTACCTAACTACCGTGGTGTGACGTCATGACACGTGGTGTGACGTCATGATACGCGGGTGTGCTGCAACTACAGTCCTCCTGGTAACTACCGTGGACAGTTTGAGACCAACGTTCTCAAACCAAGGAGTAAGAAGTACTAATAAGTAAAACTGAAAAGTTAGTGTTTTGGAAAATATTGATGCAGGCTTTAAGATTTATTTAAATTATGATGTTAGATAGAATGAGTTTTTGCATTTTTAAGAAGAAGTGAATTAATGTACTGCGTACCGGTGTACAATGCCTAAATTATTTGATCAAAACTATGTATAATTAAATAATCTTCACCTGGGGACCCCAGGCTATTATGTTCATAACTAAAGATTTGGTGGAATGACAGGCTGAGCGCCGCCCAGTAAATTAATCTAAATTCTATACTGCTGGGATATCTAGAATATTATCGGAAAGTTTACACTTTACATACTTACCTACAAACCAAATAATCACACAGCAAGAGAATAGTCAATTCTGAGAAATTATGAAATTTGTAGCCTCCTAGAATTTGTGATTCCAAAAGTCTAAAATTATTCCTCAACATAATCTCTGCGGTTTGATCAATTTAGAGAGTTGAGAGTTAATGAGAGCATGGATTATATTATGATGAACGCAGCTACAACATTAGTATGGTATTGGTATTTATACTGTGGTATTTTCTACTTCTAGAGCCCAAAAAGTCAACTCTACGTTTCGTCAGCGAAATGAAGTTCAAAATTAAAAAACTGGTCAAGAAACTTCTTGGCTAAAAATTAATAAAAATCATAAAACTCGTAGCCTAAAATTTCAATTACCTTGCCGGACTTTATTTAAACAGAAATCAATCTCTATCATCGAACTAAATTATTAAAAATTTGTATTTGTTGCTTAATGACTGCTTTTCTAGCTTACTGTATTAAAATCGATTAAAAAATTATCTGCTAAAATTGGAAAAAAATGCATAAAAAGATGAAAGAATTTTGAATGGTTGTGATCATGCATTCGAGCGATCATATTTTAATTTCCGTTCAAAATGATGTCCGTTCACGCAATGTCCGGTCAAATAACGTCCGGTACGGATAAGGTATAAAGATTTTCTTACAAAAGAAAACTGAGCGCAATTCCTCAATTCGAAATTATTCCCAACTTGTGAATCAATAAAACCCTTTCCGTCTGGCTCCCCAGAATTTAGTTGGCTGCAATAACCTAATAACGTGTCAGGACAACAAACAGCTACAATTACAAATAGAGATTCTTAAATGTAATAAAGGTCGAACACCTTAATTTAGATACGAGTTACAAACCCTCAGCTATAACAACAAATACTCCAAGCTCAACAACGCGGGTTTAAGCAGTCGTGTAAACTATCCACTATTGTAGTCACAATAATAACTGTACAAAGGGAGCCGAGGAGCATCACATCGTTTAAACTCAATTTAAAGTATCATTGGATACACTGAATAATAGTTCGGACTTAGAGTCGGGACCCAGTTCGGACGGGTCCCGGACCCAGTTCGGACGGGTCCGTCAAATTCACATCACTCGTTAGAATAATATCCTTCGAATTACGCGTATATCTACTTACTATAAACTATAAATGATCTCTACTTACTATGGCTGATCTGACACTAAATCACATACGAAAACGGCGATAAATGCTGTATCACTGTGCAATCTCAAGTTTTACTATTCCATGATTTAGACTGATAGCATATGTTCGATATCAAGGAATGAAAGAAGGTCACTGACTAATCGCTACTTACTACTTACTACTACTACAACTACTATTAGTTTAGTATTTGTGAGCAGTTTATTGAAATAGTTTTACAAACGTCACTTGTTTACTATTACTAAGGATGTAGATATTAGGCAGCGGAAATTAAAGTGACATGATATGTAAAATGTAGACACTATGCAGGTGTTGTATTGAATCACACACCAGGCAAGCTTTAGTTAGGTGCAGGTGCATTGTGCACAATGTCTTACTTTAGTAGTTTAATACTCAAATCTAATCTATGTTTTAATCTAAAATCTAAATATGTAAAATGCTTCAAAAAATAGCTAATCAACAAATAGATAAATAAAAGTAAACAAAGTTCACGATGAATTGGATAATACATGATTGATTTATCAAAGACTATGCATAATGCAACATATAATATTACATATGCCATACATCTCGCATTGTACATACTTTTATAGATAACCTTATCTGAAAATTAGTATAACGCTAAACATACTTTTAAAGCTTTAATCGAAATTGTATTGGTAAACTAAATAGTAAATACGACCTACTACAGGTACAATCATTCTTGTTAGAACGCGAGTAAAAGTAATTGTTCGATTCAGTGTTTTTCAACAAAAACGATTTTATTCTTGTCATGTGACTGTTATTTATTAGTTTATTGGATGACTGCCAGCTATGCTGTGATCCTTGATTCAAATGACGCAAGAGACACGGTTTGGGGAGTTTAGAAATATATTCGAATGAAGAGGAAACAAAAAAAGATCAAACAAGTTTAAACCGAGAGAAATGAACCATACGTTTGATATGCACTAATTGGTATGCTTCATTAGTTCCCAAAATTTGAGCGACGAAAATTCTCTTTCTACTTCCTGTAGAAGTTTGGGGCTTAAACTGTATATGGGACGTTTAGGAGCCTTTAAATTAGTGTTTCTCGGTATCTGTATTAGTTTTTTGAGCTTCAGTTCTCAGAACTAAACTCATTTACATCCTTCTAATACCCACATATTTGTTGGAGGATATCGGAAGAAAAATTAAAATTGGCCAGGCTTTGAATTAGAGTCACATATACCCAACTGTAAAGCTATTTCAGGTACCAAATTGGATTGACTGGATCAAATTTGGGAACTCCAAGATACTCCTTATTTAAAATAACCGCAAGTCGCTTATTTCTTACCCGCATTCAATTCCGCGTTTTAAATCACTCTCATAGTCATAGACTGAGGTCGGAGGTTTACAAATCTTAAATCACACCCTCTCAC